TAAAGTTTTGGTATATTTCTGAAGTTCTATTGTACATACTATACCTGCTACAATGTCATCCATAATTCCGTAACCTTGCTTTACACCTGCTTCCCATTCTCCAATGTAAACGGATGCAACACAAGTTGTGAAGTAACCTTCTTTTTTAATACCATGACCATGTGGTAATCCATCCTTGAAATATCCTTCGTAAAAGTCTCCATTACTGTATCTAAAAAATACATTATGTTTTACTTTCAATATTTCATTATATGTAAGTTGATATATTAGGATTATATTATTATTTATTTAGTAAACTAACTTCAAGGTGCCATATCCAGTTTGTTGACCATCTTTCCATTGTCCTTCATACGTACTATGCGATGGAATATCCATTTTACCAGTACCATGAAAAACACCCTTATGAAACTGTCCTGTATATACACGACCATCAGGCCAATTTAATTTTCCAAAACCATGTGGTTTACCATTTAGCCAATGTCCTATAAATGAATATATGTAATATTTCATTTTAATAATAGAGAGCTATACATTTTTATGAAAAGAAATACATAATCTGCAATATATACTTAGCCAGCAAAAATGGACAAGTAATAAGAACACTGGGGGAACTGATTAGCTCCCTCAGAGAGGCAAACTCCGCCTTGATAATAATGGAGGTGACTTCAATGCTAAAAGTGGAACAAACAACCAAGTGGATGAATTCGTTACAGAAGACCAGACAATCCAGAGACAAAATAATCAATAAACCAGGAAGAATACTATTCGAAACCATGAAGAAGAAGGTATGATTGTACTCAATGGCAGATGCAACTCAGACAAAAAAGGACATTTTACATACATTGGTGGAAACGAAAGTTGTACAATAGATTTGAACTTCATAGGATCAATTATAGATTTTGGAATAGTCGATGTAGAACTTTTAATCCATTTGCATATGAAAGATCGACATAGCATGAAAGATCGATACAAGGAAATGATGGAAACACAGGAAGTACTGATAGAAACACCTCTAGAAACTGCAATAAAGAAACAGCAAACACTTTGGGTATGGGCAACACACAGGAACTGTAGAAATAAAAAACCCTCATGTAACAAAACATGGTTTGACAAAAAATACCAGGAAGCCAGAAAGCGAATGAAAAAATTGGCAAGAGTCTTCAGGGGAAACAAAGCTGAGGAGCAGGGAGGAGCAGGGAAAAGGATTGTACTTAGTAGCGAGAAAATAATATGAGTTTATCATCAAACAAGCAAACAACCACAGAGTTATATGAATGTGAAGGATGCAGGGCAACTTTTGGAAAACGGTAAGAAAATTACAATATAGAGCCCAACAGGATTGTAAAATGGAAATCGAAATGTTGGAAAAATACTACAAAGTATTATTTAAGGAAGACATGGAGAACATATACTATACCTTAGACACGGGACACCCTTATTTGGATCAGAATATTTCAAATGAAGAATCAAATGCAATGTTAAACAACCCAAACCTAGACAAATCACTGGGCGCAGACGGGATATCTAACGAGTTCTTCAGATACCTACCCTCAATACAAGAATTACGCTGCTAAACCTCATGAACCGAATCTTATCCGAGGGTAAGATGCCATTAAGTTAGAGAAACACATCGACATCAAAGAGATCAGACCCAAACAATTACAGAGAAATCACACTTGCCAATTCGATAGTTAAGATACTGACGACAATGTTAACAAAATGAGTAAACAATTGGTGCTGTAAATGACGTCTTCATACTACAAAGTAAAATTGCTCAATCCCTAGCATGCCCAAAAGGCAAGAAATTTATTCGCTTTGCGACTTCAGGAAGGCTTTCGATTCCACATGGCACTCACTACTCTGGCAAACATTACACAAAGTGGACATAAGATCGTAATTGATAAGAATACTGATCTGATTTATCTAAAAATAAATAAAAGTGTATTACAGAGAGGCTGCATAAGCCCAACAGTCGACTAGAGATATCATAAACTTCTTTAAAGAAAGGGACATAGGAATGTACTAATGCTGAAAAACAATCCAACTGACATACAAACACTTATTATGCATGAAAACAATACAATAAAAGATAAGATAAAGGAATAAGAAAATTATTTTATAATGAGAAGAGATTGAAGAAGTGAAGGAATATACAATGTATCTGGGAGTGTCCTTTACACATCTAGATGTTTTATGCAGCTCAAAAAAACTTTGTAATAAAAGTAAAAACTGCCCTGGAAACAATATGAAAACCTCTCATATTAACAAAATCTAACAGCTGGGATGCAGCAGAAAATAGCTGCAAAAAGTTCTATAGTAAACTAATAACATTAAACTAATAGCATTAGACGGAGGTAACATCACTCTAACAAATATTCTAATACAAATATATATAAAATATATTGTTTGAAGAAAATAAGTAAAATTGAAGAAAATAAATAAGTAACTCCAGTTATAGCAAAATTTACAAAGATATAAAAAATACGACAACACTACAAAGAGCTGAGTACCTAAACTAGAATATTCCTTACTTATACAAAAAATAATTGCATAAACTAGATTAATAGGTAAAATCACATAGAAGTTGAAAACAGTTAAGGAGTGTGTCAGTCGAGGAATGACTCAACTGTAACTTCTACGAACTAGAGGATGGGAGACATATTCTTATAGCTTGCCCTATTTATAAGGAAATTCGACCACCTTCACCAAAAAATAACGACTCCAACTGCTAAAAATAAACAACGAAAGGCATCTATGGGAACTATCAAACTTTTTGAAAACTAGCATGAAATTGAGAGCCTTCTGCATGGGAAAGTAAACCAAGGAACCAGTAGAGTATGGTGCAATCAACATCCGAAATCAGATAGAAATAAATACTACCAAGTTAGACTACATTAGAAATATCAGAAATTTTAGGCTTTAAGGCTTGGTATCATACCAATTACCAATAAAGTATCAGTGTGTCTTTGATGCCTGGATGAAGTGAGCTGCGAAGCTTGTGAAACGTTAGGAAAATAATTCCACCAAGACACGCATATATTCAAAAGTCTCAACAGTAAGAACTACATATTAGAAATAATTCAAAATAATTCTAAGTATGTGCAATACTATTATTTACCAAAGATTGTAATAGGACTATGGCCTCAAAGCAATAAATATGTAAAATTTAACCTAATATAACCTATCAATTTTTATACGTATAGATAATTTATCACATCATCCGAAAAAATACCTTGTTGTAAAGAAAAGAAAAAATATCATAGAAAGTTTTTTATCATCTTATAATTTTAAGAGTTAAAAAATATGATGATGACCTATTTATAATCTTTTTCGAATGACTTTATGATTTGAATTAAATTGTTTAAATAACTTACGAACCGACATATTTTGCTTGTTTGTAAAGGCTGTGTTTGGTAAAAGTGAAAGAGCCAGAACGTGCTATTGGCGGCTCATGTCCAACAACTTTTTGTAGATTACATTTTATAGCATTTTGCAAAGCATGTAGCCATTCATTACGCTTGCAGGGTGTTTCAGTATACAAAACAAATGTATCTTCTGGGGCTTTTACTAATATAGCATTCTGAAAACATAAAACTTATCAATGTAAACAGAATTCAATGCCTTGAAATCTAGTTGTACTTACTTGCACTATTTCAGAATCTGGTAAAATCGCTACCCATAATGTTTTAAGTGGATAAATTGTATGAGTTGTTCCAGTAACATGAATAAATATGTCAGTCAACAAAGCAAACCAATGAGTGGAAAAGAATCTAGAATTAGACATTGCTATGGGATGTGTTCTTGATTCTCTTATAAGTCTCCTATTAGGAGATCTTAAAACTTCTCCCAATTTACCAGAACTATCCCAAAACAACTTAGTTGCTATAGCTTCCTTTTGTCGCTTTTCTTGTTCTTCACATATTTGTTCCCATTTTATTAGAGCATCTTGAAATCGTTCTACACCCATTTCTGCGTCACTACATGTCATCAAATTCTGAATCATATTTTTATATCTGTATGTACATAACATTTATTAGTACGTAAAGACAGAAGTAATGAAGTTTGATATATGTAATTTACATTTAAAATATTCACCTATTCAGATTATCCAATGGATACTTTAATGCCATATCAAATTCATTTTCAAAATTTTTTTTTTCTATACTTTTCCATTTGCCATTAAACAAATTTGTTATCACTCGTGGTACTTCAATTATTTTTGCAATGTATGTAAAGCCACTTAGACAAATTACATCACATATTGCATTTAAGTAATATTTATACACAGTGATATATTCATCAACATTAGCAACAACTACTACTTCATATGCTTCACCAATGTGATTGAAATAGTTCCATAGACTAATGACATTTAATACACTGAAACTTAGTAGTTCTGTATAGCATCTACATAATGTTTCATAAACATTCAATTCTTGCATAGCACCTCCCTTCTTTTGCAATGGTTTGATTAAATTTTTAAAGATAATCAATATCTTTTCTAAATATACTTGTTCGTCTATCAAATCTTGAGAAATATTTCTTGCTGTTTCGTTTATCACAGAACAGCAACTATATTCTCCTGAACCAAATATTTCAGTTACACTGTAATCATCGCATATTTCAATATCAAGATGAAACATGTCTCCAATTTTACTAAAATCACGATAATAAATTTGTATTAATAAATAGAACTATATTATTCATGTAGCTTACAAGCGAATTACCATCAAATTACCTTGACTTTCCAATAAAGTATAAACCATGATGCATCATGATCAAACTATGATAGCTGCCAGATGCTATATCTTTTGCTCTCTCAGTCGATGATAAATTAGTAGAAAATAATTGAGGTGCACTTTGACAAGCATTTGACTCTAACATCACTTGTTTACAATTATTTCTTCCCCAAGCAAAGGCTCTTCCATCCAATGTTAAAGCCAGAATGTGATATGCACCACATGTAATTTTTCTAAGACCAATATTGCTTAGTTTTGCAACTAGAATAGGTCGCAAGCGATTAATAGTATCACCTGTTCCTAATTGTCCAAATTCAATATCACCCCATGTCCATAGTTCCGTTGACAAAATGTTACTACCAGCTTGCGTTAATGTATTAATCTTTTCATTTAAATCCTGTTGGGATAATTCATGCTCTGAAGTGCCGTTACTCGATGACCATGGAAATTCTTCACATCGTAAACTTAACATTAAACTATTATTGGCAGGTTCCGAACATTCTTCTGCCTGTTCTATTATATGTTCACTAATATCATTCTTTAATTCATTAATGTCTGAACTTCCACTCATATGTTTAGATAATGTAACAACTTTATCACCTACATTTTTTACACCTTCGTACACCAAATTAGCTACATTAGATACATTTTGTTTGATTAATCTTGTTGGTGTTTCAATATTTTCTATAGGTATGTCTTCTTTAATACTTCCATAAGAAGAAACCCAGGATAACTGTTTAGTTAGAAACTGTTTTGCAGCTTCTGTATTTATAAAAATAACATTTTTTTTTTCTTCTTTATCAGAGTTTATAGTACTGTTAGAACTTTGTTCTTCGTTTCCACTTATCTTAGAAATTTGTTCTATTTTAGTAGTATCAGTAGAAGCTGCAAAGTCATATTCTTTACTAGCAACTGATAAAGCACTAGTAGAGATGGTTGAATGATCTTCACTAAAATGTTGCGCATATAGTCCAGCTGGACAAGTATCTGATGATGTCATACTTGTATCACTTAATAAGACAGTATTAAGACACTGAGGACATGAATCAACAAAAACATTTTCTTTTAAATCACCTTCACTATCAGAATCATCTTTCATAGCTTTCAGTGTTTTCCTTGCAGCAACTACATTAAAATTAAAACCACATGAAACAATGGAAATGGTTCTACCCTCGAAAAATTTAACCTTTTTAGGCTCTTTACTATTAATATCTATCTGTGGCTGATTGCCACTAGCCCAAAGTTCACCTTCTTCTGTTATAAATAATGCTGCTTGATCATTGACAGCTATTGAAGTTATTGTAAGAAATACAATTTCTTGTTCACATCTGTAATAATATTAATGATTCTGATGTATTATACGTATATATAATCATTCTAGTTTGCAAGCTATAGACAAAGAGTAAAAGAGTGAATCAAAATTTGAATCATACCCATGACTACATTTGATTTCTTCTTTTAGAATTATTGTGTCTATTACACTCATATCTTGAGGATTTATTTTTAAAACATATCCGTTGGTATCTACAATAAATAAATGCTCCGAATTGGATGCTATGTCAACCACATTAAATGGAGCAGTTTTGAAAATTAATGTTGGAGCATTGTTATCCACAATTGTTACTTCTCCATGATATAAATTATTTGAGGTAGTTATTACAAAAATATGATCTTTAATAGTAACAAATTTGCAAATAATGCCATTAGGTTTGTCACTAAATGTGTATGATACTTTATCAACACCTCTCCATAGTTGCATATGTTTTTGCATTTTGTGAGGTATTTGATACACTAGTTTTCATAACCTATGAATATCTTATAAAATAACGATTTTAGCGTCAACAACGCTTTTGTCATGTAATTTGTGACTGACTTTGTTCCAATAATGTTTGTAGTATTTCTATTAAATAGAATTTACATACTGACATGATTAAACTAATGACTTCCTTGTTATAGTTTATTGGTTAACTCTGTGAATATTATCCCGCAGCAGTAACTGACACTCGACAATCGATATGTAGGTAGGGCCTATATTTATGAACAGCGTTCAGGAACTTCACATCCATAAAACTTCAGGAGCAGGGATTTCAGGCAGAGATCCATAGAGCTATAAGTGGCTCTAAGGCGATCAGCCCTTTTAGACCCTCATTCAAGAAAGTAGGAGCATCCGTGTCCGATGCATGCGTAGAAGCATAGCATGACATCGGGGAGCCTGAGAAGAAATTAATTTACATAAATTCATGAGAGAAATTATTTAATTTAAATTTACAACAACAAAAAAATCTTGAGCATTAGTCATCTGGAATGGGCTATAGAGTGGTGCAGGGACGCCAATGGAATTCATTGGCATCATCCAATCTTATTTGTGAGGTCTTCTCGCTGCCACTTGGAGCAGACTCCGAGCAGAATCCTTGACATCATTGGGGACACCACTGACCTGAGTGGAAATTCCAAGAACGGCTGATAGCTTGAGACCAGTTTTGACACAAAACATAAGTTATGGAGGTACAGTACAGAAATGGTTTTGCTCCGATTGGCTGATGATTCATACCTAGACTATATAGATATGCAGTATGACCATTTACCTGCAACATAGGAGCATTCCTCGCATCTGCATTTTCCCCTAATTAGAAATTGAAGTGAATTAATAGAGGGGATTGTTGACTTCCTCCAACTGCGATGCACTTACGCGGAAAAATGGTGGGGATGTGTATGCCAGCGTAGGGATTAAAAAAAGCGTGCAGGAGTAAGTCCCATTACATACTATATTTTTAGATTCATAGTTTGTAGAAAATCTAAGTGTTGAGTTGATAACTGTTCCCTCAGACGTCACGCGAAGTAAAATATGATTATTCATGTACAAATTTAAATTGCGAGTAAGTACAATTGATTTTAATATTAGTCATAGATGTACCATACTTATCAAGCAATTTTCATTCATAAAAATTAGTTATGCGTGCATTTTCGTTACATAGAAATGTACCTGAAACTTTGATCGTCAATCAGAAGCGCGAGTGAATTGAATCGGTGCGCCAATCCGAAGCACCCACGACCTAAGCACTTATGTTTGTTGTAACGTCTGCTAGGATGGCAGCGATAAAATTAATTTTCTCTTTGTTCATAAATTTAACGTTATATGTAATTCTAACCGCAGCAGGGTAAGTAGCATAGTCATTTATTTTTCTATAATTTGTTTATTGTATAATTAAACAATTGTTAATTTTATAAAAATTTTATAACCTCTAGTTTCATAAATTATTTGTTTGCAAAACTAGTAGCGGAACAATAAAATAAGTGCAAGTAAAGATTTTAAGAACAAGTAATTCATAAGTATTTTAATGAAACATATTTTTATTTCTATTGTATTTTGTAAATTTTATGAAATGTTTGTGTACACAATTTGTTGATGCTTCAATTTTTCCAATTGTAACCATTCTTAATCATAAAGAATACAAAAAAATATGTGTTTTCCAGGAGAGACTTTTATTCCATTTTAGGCATACCATCAACAGCCAGTCAACATGTAATAAAGAAGGCATATAGAAAACTGGCAAAAGAATTGCATCCTGATAAAAACAAAGATGATCCAAATGCTTCACAAAAGTTCCAAGACTTAGGTGCAGCCTATGAAGTTCTCTCTGATAATGAAAAGAGGGAAATGTATGATAGATGTGGAGAAGAATGTTTAAAAAGGGATGGTATGACAAATAATCCTGATCTTTTCACAAGTTTCTTTGGAGATTTTAGTTTTCATTTTGGTGGAGAATCCCAACAACAACATGAAATACCAAAAGGTTCTAATATTGTAATGGATTTAGCGGTTACCTTAGAAGAGTTATATAGTGGAAGTTTTATAGAGGTAAAGTGTAATATGTAACAAACGTAATTGACAAAATCTTAATATTATGTATTCATCTTCAGATAACTAGAAATAAGCCCGTTATGAAACCAGCTAAAGGAACTAGGAAATGTAATTGTAGACAAGAATTTGTCTCTCGTGATTTAGGAAGTGGAAGGTATCACCTGGTACAGCAATCAGTATGTTCAGAGTGTCCCAATGTTAAATTTGTCACTGAAGAACGAGTATTGGAAATTGAAGTAGAATCTGGTATGGTGGATGGACAAGACATTGTATTTATAGCAGAAGGGGAACCACATATAGATGGAGAGCCTGGAAACTTGATATTAAAAATACGAACACAACCGCATCCAATTTTTGAGAGAGTTGATAACGATCTTTATACAAATGTTACTATATCCATGCAAGATGCCCTGGTAGGTTTCAAAATGGAGCTGAAACATTTAGATGGTCACAAAGTGAGTATTCAAAGAGATAAGGTTACTAAGCCAGGAGCTCGCTTACGAAAGAAAGGAGAAGGAATGCCACATTATGACAATAATAACCTTTATGGCACTTTGTACATTACGTTTGACATTGCATTCCCTGAAATAGAATTCACAAATACACAAAAAGAGGGTAAGCTTAATTGATTTAACTTGTTTCTCTTTGTGTAATGTTACAATCCTTCATTATTTTATATATGTTTCAGAAATAAAACAATTATTCCAACAAGATACAGTAAATCGAATTTATAATGGAATAAGAGGGATTTAAGAATTTTAAATATAATGTATAGACAAAGTGATATTATAAACTGTGCATATAATTGAAGTGCATGTGTTGACATTGTGTGTTTCTATACCAGGTGGTGTTTTCGCTTCCTTTGAATATTGTGGTACCAACAGGCTTGGTAGCCAATTGTTAGGTTCATTAAGTTGTATACAAATAGCATAACATAGTAATTACTGAGTACACATACTTCCTGTCTCATCATATAAAAGTGGTGACTTTGTTATTGCCAATAATTTATACAAACGTCAACAATATATGCATTACATTATTTAAAATAAGTTATTTTATGTTTAATTTGTATGAGTGATGCATGAATGTATTGTAAGAACAGAAGTTTTGCATTTAAACAGTGGAAGAGAACAGGTTTTAAATATTGAATTCTGT